CTCTTTCTGCAGCCCTACCTTGTGCAGTCAGGTGGTTGCTCCATGCTGCCCCTCCCAGAAGAATGTTTGGTTTGTTCTCAGAGAGCCTGCAGCCTTCTGAGACACCAGGGTCTGAGGAGGACAAAGATGAAGTGGGTTTGGATATTGGGAGAGTAAGTTACAGTCAGCATCCTGAATAAGACTTCCTCTGCCAAGCCCCTTCCTGCGTGCAACGCCAGCAGGCTTAAGTTGCAGGGAGATTGGAAGAAACTTCTCTAAAGAAACTTAACAACCCCTACAGAATGTTATTATAAAAGGAACAGGCTCAGAACAGAGAATAATCCTAAAAACTTAAAAAAAGTGGCAGTTGAAACTTTTTTTAATCAATAGAATGAATGGGAAGATAAAGTTAAGGAGAACTCAAATGTAAAACAACTAAATGATAGAAATTAGTTCTAAATGATAGAAATTAGGCACGAAGAACAGAAGGAAAAATAAACTGCCCATCAGATTGTAATTCAGTAAAGTTCTCCAGTCTGTACACACACACACACATACACACACACACACAATTATAGAAAGAAAAGTTAAGGAAATCTCCCCTAAAGTAGAACACCTATATAATAGAAGGCTCATTAGGACCAAGATAAGGAAGAACGTCATCAAAGACAACACAAACAGCCTTTCTCAGAACTGCAGGGCACCAATTTCCAGAATGAAAATGTTGCTCACCAGGATGGAAGATAAAAGACCTACACCATCATCATGTAATTTCAGAACAATAAGGCTAAAGAAAAAGAGATCTAAACTTTTCAGAGAAAAAAAGCGACAGGTAACCCACAAAGGACAGGGAATAAGAATGGATTCTTCAGAGACATACTAGAAGGCAGAAGAAAATGAAAGCAATGTCTTCCAAAGCCTTAGAAAAAAAATTTTTTTTCAACCAAGATTCTATACCCAACTCCACATATCCTTCTTTGAAAAGCAGCTGGAAAATCCTGCCCGCTGACATGAAGCTGTGACCCAAGTGAAAGGAAGACATGGAATTCAGGGAAGAGATCAAATATGGAGTGGAGATGGGAGCTGCTGGTCCAGGTGAGGGCTGCCATGAGCCCATGTTGCAGCGGAACGCTGGAGGCTTCTAAAAGAAACTTGTCTTGGAAAGTGGTAGTAGAGGGTATGGAGATGTAAACTAACTTTACTGCAGTAAACCATTTTGCAATATTTATGTGTACCAAATCATCACATTGTGCATAACTTACTACATTATTGACATACATGTATGTCAATAATACCTCAATAAAGTTGGGAGGAAAATTGACTTTTGGGAAAAGTATAATGAAAGGTACAGAAAAGAACTGTTCAAGTCAGATACTGAAGGAAAACATTTTAAAAGAAAGAGAAAACTATCAAGTCCATTAAGAAAAGCTGTACTAGGAAAATGTAATCATAGAATATGATTAGAGCATATTTGTGAACCTAGTAACAATAACACCCTGTTATTGCTGTTTAGTTGCTAAGTTGTGTCCTGACTCTTTGTGACCCCATGCTCTATAGCTCTGTCCATGGGATTCTCCAGGCAAGAATACTGGAGTGGGTTGTTGTTCCCTTTTCCAGGAGATCTTCCCAACCCAGGGATCAAACCCACGTCTTCTGTACTGGCAGGTGGATTCTTTACCACTGAGCCACCTGGGAAGCCCAGTAACACCTACTATGCATTTAACAAAAAGTTGATATATATTAGGATGGAGGGAAGACATGAAAGGGGGTGAATTAAAATCCACATCTTCTGCAAAAGTCGAAAGAAGGTTCTAAAGTGACAGAGAGTAACATATTTGGACACAGGAACGGAAGCCTACACAGGTATGGCTACGTGGTTACCTGGCACAGTGGGAATCAGCTGAGAGTCCACAATACAAGAGCCTGGTTTCCTTTCAGGCCTTCTACTACAATTTGATTTTCAGAGTGTGCTTCTCAGCATCAACTAGGAATTTGTTAGACACAGGATCCCAGGACCCAGACCTACAACGTAAGTACACATTTTCACGGCATCTCCTGGAGATGTCTGTGCCCAGTACAACTCAAGAAGCACTGTCCAGCAGTCACAGCGCAGGTGTGTGGGGATGTAGTAAAGATCAGTGAAGCAAGTGGATGCAGTGGGCACAGAGGGTCAGCAGGGGCTCAGGTGTGACCTCAGTTGGCCATCCCAGGTCCTTCAACCTTTCACTTGTCCAGACCGTCCTAACCCGCCTGTGTAGTACAGACTTCATGTCTCTACAGATTTTGGCTTCATTTTGGTTTTGGTACGTACTTTACACATTTTGGCACCTACTTTATTTTTGTACCTAATTTTGTTATACCATATAATCTGTCTTTGTAGATGTCATTGTTCTTACATTGTTCCTGTCTGTATATTTTATTACCAAGATCATATAACTCTTGATAGTCTAAACAATTAGGTTCTATCACTTCTTTTTAGGCCATCCTGTGTGGCATGTGGATCTTTGTTCCCTGACCAGGGGTCGAACCTGTGCCCCATGCAGTGGAAACATGGGGTCTTATCCATTGGACTGCCCGGGAAATTCCAGAAACTGGATTCTGTCGATTCTTCATTATATGCCAGAAGAGATCAGAGGGGTACAATAAATAGAAGCCTGCTCTCTGGGAAAGAGAAGGAAAATAAACTACAGGCATAAGAGCTTTGCTGGGATGCATGCCAAGTTGCTTCAGTCGTGTCCAACTCTTTGTGACCCTACGGACTGTCATCAGGCTCCTCTGTCCATGGGATTCTCTAGGCAAGAATACTGGAGTGGGTTGCCATGCCCTCCTCCAGGGGATGTCCTGACCCATGTCTCTATGTCTCCTGCATTGGCTGGCAGGTTCTTTACTACTAGCGCCACCTGAGATAAGAGAGTGGTCCCCTAATACTTCCACTGAAATCTGAGGACTAAGTTAAGAAGGTGTCAGTTACAAAGAGTAATCTTTTGATTCCCAGTTCTGCTTACCTATGTCTTTATTATACTTTTATATCTTACATTCTGTAGTATTTCCAAGTATTGCAAGAAAAGCCATTGTTGCTTCAAGTGTAAAAAGGGGACTGGAAAAAAATCTAGATAAATCATAGCTGGTCTTTGAACTACATTATGAAAACAATTTAAAATAATTCTTTGTAATATTAGTTTTATTAAAAACTGAGGAAAAAAATACAAACTCAGGTACTATGATTTTAAAGAAATAAAAATCAAGTATAGTTGTGAAATGAATCAGACATTTTGGTGTTATGATTTGTGAATACAAAGTTTTGGTTCAAATGCCAAATTAATTTCCCAAGATCAGATAAGAAGTTAATTACAAATCTGTCAAAGGCTGTCTTAAGACAGTCATAAGAAAGGCTTAATTATGAAGTTTCAAAAAGAAAAACCCCTATGATTAAAGATCTTATCTCCTTTATTAAAATGAGGATTAGTTGATGCAAATTGGCTCTGCTTTGAAGTGACCCTAGCAAACAAACTACTGGAGTTACTGGAGAACTGACAAGATGCTACATATTTAGAATCACTAAAGAGGAATTAATAAGTCTCCACTTATTAATTAAAAACAAGAAATTCCTTATTCTGTGGTGTTCTCCCAAACACCATTCATTGGCAAAAAAGAAACTCATAAATTATTCCTTATGAGAGAATATGGAATTTGCATAAAGAATTCTAGGGCCCAGAAGAATCTGCCATAAACATACATTTCTTTTTTCATTGAAGTACAGCTGACATACAATACTAAATAAGTTACATAGTGATTAACAATTTTTAAGATTATCATCCTCCATTCATATTCATTACAGAATCGTGGCTAAATTCCCTAGTACTATACAATATATCCTTGTAGCTGGTTTTATACTTAAATGTTTATGTCTCCTAACCCTCTGCCTATCCTTATACTGCCCCTCCTCTCTTGTCTCTCTGCACTAGTAACCACTAGTTTGTTCTCTGAATCTACGAAATATCCTTTTTATATCTAGATATAGAGATCTCTATAGATTCAGAAAACTAAGATCATGGCATCCGGTCCCATCACTTTATGGCAAATAGACGGCAAAACATTGGAAACAGTGGCTGACTTTATTTTTTGGGCTCCAAAATCACTGCAGATTGTGATTGCAGTCATGAAATTAAGACACTTACTCCTTGGAAGGAAAGTTATGATCAACCTAGACAGCATATTAAAAAGCAGAGACATTACTTTGACAACAAAGGTCCATCTAGTCAAGGCTATGGTTTTTCCAGTGGTCATGTATGGATGTGAGAGTTGGACTATAAAGAAAGCTGAGCACAGAAGAATTGATGCTTTTGAACTGTGGTGTTGGAGAAGACTCTTGAGAGTCCCTTGGACTGCAAGGAGATCCAACCAGTCCATCCTAAAGGAAAGCAATCCTGAGTGTTCATTGGAAGGACTGATGTTGAAGCTGAAACTCCAATACTTTGGCCACCTCATGCGAAGAGCTGACTCATTTGAAAAGACCCTGATGCTGGGAAAGATTGAGGGCAGGAGGAAAAGGGGATGACAGAGGATGGGATGGTTGGATGGCATCACTGACTCAATGGACATGAGTTTGGGTAAACTCCGGGAGTTGGTGATGGACAAGGAGGCCTGGTGTGCTGCAGTTCATGGGGTCACAAAGAGTTGGTCACTACTGAGCAACTGAACTGAAACTGAAATAGGTATCTATATCCCTGACTCACCCTTCTTAAAAATGTATGCAAATCTACTCTAAAATAGCTTCATGGTTGGTTTTAAAAGGTTTGTGTCTCCAAAACAGCTACAAGTGACATTCCTACAAGATGTCATCCTATGGCTGAGCAGCAGGCCCCTGGTTCATACCGCAGTTTGAGAACAGCATACACTATCGGCTTGACCTCTCCATCCAACTTACATCATCTGTATTACAAAACATGAAAGATAAATATTGGATCACGTGATTTGTTCCAGGTAGGTGTATATGGACATGAAGGACAGAGCAGTTGAACTTATGTGAACAGAAGTTTTTATTTTTATATCATAATCCAATTCTGATCTTTTCCATTGATTAAATCTGAAAAAACTTACATTTTAGCTGTATTACATTTACAAAAACATTCTTCCACATTACATTAGCACATTCCTCATGCTTTTATTCCAGTGTTCAGAAGTTTAATGAATAAAATCATGTTATTGGGTCACTTTTAATTACCTTCTTCAAATACATCTAAAGTCTAAACAGTCTAATGGCTAAATTAAAAAACATTGATCTGCAGTAATCTCCGAAGGCTCTGCCAAATTATTCCAAGGTCTGTATAAGCTGATATTTTCCATCGTACAAAGTTCACGGGAGGCCAACCTGCTCACCCTTTTCTACTGAGCCAAGCCGGGCAAAGTTCTTCCTTAAAACTCTTCCTCTGCCTGTTTGCTGCGGGAATGCTTGAGCTGCTGGAGCCGCGCGATGGTTTCAGAGGTCGTACGTTCTCCATGCACCTTATTGTCTCTGGTGCGGATGTTGACAGTACCGCTGGTTTTCTCTTTTTCACCAACAACTAAACCAAAACCCACATAGCTTTTGTTAGGTGAAAAGATTCCTACTGAATATTCGAACAGAAATCTACTCTGTAGCTTCTGATTCACTAAAATGTACAAGTGACCAAATCTACTCATGAAAAAACAAAACCCAACCCACCATTCTACAATGACTAGAACTGCTTGCTGTGCTTATTACCAAGTCACTTAATCCAGCCAACTTAATAAAAAATTCACCAGACAAAAAGGAGGAGGTGAAGGGGAAAAGATTTTTAGACAAACCTTTCAAGATTACTTGAATTTTTCAAGTTTTCAAACCAAAATGTTCCTTTGTTGTATCAACAGAACAAACATACAGTTTGAGATCAGGACTGGAAAGAACTACTCATGATCACAATTCCCTTAAGCCTACATCTCCGAGTTTCAAGTTTTCCTAAGGTTTGGCAGGCTGTCTTTGGTAAATCTCCTTTCTTACCTAGGATGAAGTTATATTGTGCTAACTGTGCATTTCTGATCTTCTTGTTTAATGTACAGCCTGGATCCAGATCAATGTCCACCATGAATTTAGCATCGTGGAATTGTTGCCGTACCTATTTAAACAGCGAGAATTCTTCAGATCTCAAGGAGAATTATATTTTGATCTTAAATAATTTTATTTAACAAACAATTTGAACAATTACACAAACATTAAAAAGGAATGTTAGTAAATATACTGAAGCACCTATTATCGTGATGTGGAACTACAAAACAATATATTGAGAGATAAACTGTGAATTAAATAAATTTTCCATCTATCTGACAACCAATTACCATTCAATAAGACAGAATGATATGAACGGGCCATTTTTATTTCACTAATAGGTTTAGTGATCATTAATGATCATTACTGATCATTAACCAATGAACCTCCTGGGACTTTATAAGTATGCAAAAGTCAAAAAGGTTCTTAGTTTATTACAGTGCCAGGATAAGACTACACTCTCAACTGTAACCTATTTTAAAGTACAAAGCACTAGTGCTTTTTTCCTTAACGTGAGCCCTGTGCACACGTTAGTTATTCTGCTACTGGGTAAGAAGCCTGGTAATTGCAGGCTGTTTAATACCTGTGGTCTCTAGTCATTAGTTATTAATAGCAGTGCCCTCCCCCCACAACTCAGTATAATCAAAAATCCACCTTTTACATAATTTGAAATGCCACTCCATCCCCACATAGAGAAAGTCAGTGTTACAGTTGAAAAGTGAGTTAACTAAAACTGACCTTTTTTCTACTGTGTGAGCTTTCATAATGCATATACAATAAAGTAAAATCCATTAACCATGGAAAGCATAACTGATTCTTATCATTTCTAACTAAACTACTGTGTGAGGTAATAGGAATACAGTATATCTTGAATAGTCTGCCTATCAGTAGGTTTTTTTTTAATGTTCCTTTATTAAAAGGCAGTTGAGACTGGAGTGTAATTTATTCTGATCTGAATGCAGGCTGGGGTTTTTTTTTTGGCTGCACACTGTAGTCTGTGATCTTAGTGCCCCAATCAGGGACTGAACCCGTGCTCCCTTCAATGGAAGCATGGGGTCTTAACCACTGGACTGCCAGGGAAGTCCAACATGGTGGTTTTGAAGTTAAAATGTTATTCATTGATATTTAGATTTTTGTCTAGCCAATTTATTACTTTCAGCTTGCAATTATGAAACAATGCTTTCTATTAATAACTCAACTTTTCATAATTTGAGATTCCTTAGCATGGAATTGTTGCTGTATAACAGAATAGACTGTTCTAATCTTTAAGGTGTGAAGTATGAATGGATATTCATACATCTGTTAGTAAGGTGGCTTTTTGGTAGGGAGGGCAAAGATTGCTCTGTCATACCATCAACTTGAAAAAAAGTTTCCAATTAAAGAAATGTGCCTTAGAAACAAAGCAGAACTACTCTGAGTCAAATAGCAGTTTACACTACATTATGCATTTGAATTTACATGTCACACTACTTGCTAACATTAAAAACTAAAACATACAAGTGTATAAAACTTTACAAATTAAGTCTACTCACCACAGAACCACATAAAAAATATTAAAGTGGTAATATGATCTACTTAGGCTTACCAAAGATTGAAAATGTAAACACTTCTCTATATCACAAGCAGCTTGACTTACAAAGCACAGATATAATTTATGAGATCTGAAAAGTTGAACAACAGCTATTAAATTTAAAGAAAGTCATACTTAAGGATTGATTACCTTTTGGGCATATTCATCACACGTTGGTCCCACTGGAACTACCATTACCTGACGAGGGGACAGCCAGAAGGGCCTTCAGAATAAATAAAAAAATATTTAATGTGAATTTGGGAACTTTCTTCAACAAGGATAGCACATTTCTTAGTCTACTGTTCAGTACCTTTTCCTGAAACATGCAAGGACCACTTCCAAAAACCTGGCTTTTTTTCAATGTCCAATAAGGACTGAAGGACGATTCAGGAACAGAAAAAGGGGGAAATCTGTAACTAAGACTTGTCTTGCTAAGCAGAAAGAGAGCAAAGCAGATAGAGCTGGGACCATGCCCCATAATTCAACACAGCAGCTAACAGCAAACACCACACACCTGCTGCTGGAGGGCTTAACACGCTGATAAAGAAAAGTACTTAATGATTCAAGTTATTTTACCCCAAAGGTTATTTTACTCAAGTGTTATTATATCACTTATTCTTCATGTAGGGACAGAAATTGTGCCTCAGTTTATTCAAGATCCATTTTGCAGGACTCAACAGATTGAAACTGTTAGTAACTGGTGACAGTACTTGGTAAAAGTGAGTGTGTTTTCACTGCTTATAAAAAGGTGAGCCCATCTGTAGTTCTCCTTTCAGGGATTTCAGGCACCCAATCGCCACCCGCTGCAGACTCAAGCCAGTGCTGCTCCTGGTTCCGCCTCTATGTTCAAGTTATTTTGCTATAATTAGGGGAGTAATCGCTACTGTTAGGCTGGAGTAAGCCCCAAATTGCTTCCCTCAGGCTCAGCTGGTAAAGAATCCACCTGCAATGTGGGAGGATTCGATCCCTGGGTTGGGAGATCCTGGAGAAGGGAAAGGCTATGCACTCCAGTATTCTGGCCTGGAGAATTCCATGGACTGTATAGTCCATGGGGTCGCAAAGAGTCAGACATGACTGAGCGACTTTCATTTTCACTTTCAAGCACCAAATTCTACCCCAGTTGTGGGCTGTTCCCCACCTACTACAGGTTTGGCAGAGCATCCACTGAGGATGCCCCTATTCTCGAGATTGTGCAGAGAATACTGCCCATATTTGTTTTGATTTTGTGAAATATAACTGTAAAGAAATAAGCTCATTTCATTTATATGTATGACATCCCTGACCCCTAAAATGTCTGAACTAATCAAATTACAAACAAAACTGAAGTGACTACAATGCAGTAATAATGCAGGCTGTACAAAATGGGTGTTTCGTAACCATTTCCTGTTTTGAACTGCCTTCCCAAAATGGGGGCCCAGACAAAGGTGCTGAGAAAATAAAATGCAACTCATGTGCTTATTATCTTGCCGGCAGAAACAAATGTTTCTAGAAATAAGATACAAAAATATTAATTTGTTTGGACTCTGTACTTTCAATCAAAAAAAAAAAAACTTGGCTAAAGGGTCCAAAATGCTTATTTATTATCATCACAACACTGAACAAGGCATTGCTGAAGGCCTACTTTTGTTTACTCAAACAAAAATCAAAGTTTTATAAGTTTCCAAAGTTACTTAGAAAGCAATCAAAACAATAAGCTTCTTACTGATTAATAATTCCTAATTAGAAAGCATTTATATAACACTCGAACCAATCAACTGCTAAAAATAATTACAAACATTCTTATAGCTAAAAAGTTTGGGTTTAGACTGTAATTCCTTACTTTTTAGTAAACACTTGTCATTAATTAGAAGTTACCAACTAGAATCATTCTCCCTTTCCACCACAGAACTAAACTGGACAGCAGACATTTCTGACAGTTAATTTACACAGTCTGGACAAAAACACAAGGAAATAATGACAAACATTACCATTTGCCGCCATAGTTTTCAGTGAGGATAGCAATCATTCTTTCCACTGACCCCAAGATGGCTCTATGGATAATGACTGGCCTTTTCTTATCATCACCATCATGGCTAGAAAGAAATAAATTGTCTTCCTTTATTTTGTATATATGTTCCTTTATATCCTTACGGAAGAATATTCAGAGCAGACACTTAGAAACTCACCTTACAAAAGTAAGATTAAATCTAATGGGCAACTGAAAATCCAACTGTATTGTGGCACACTGGTGGTAGCGCCCAATAGCGTCTTTAATCTGGATGTCAATCTAAGATGCAAAGATTGGGTTCTATTAGGGGTGAATTTTTAAAAACTTTAAAGTAATCTCTTCTTCACCCGAACAGAAAAGACATACTACTCTTAATTAGACTTTGGTACTGACCTTTGGACCATAGAAAGCTCCATCTCCAGGATTTAATTCCCACTTTTCACCAAACTCATTCAGACTGTTCTCAAGTTGCTAAGGATAAAACAAAATGATTTAAATTTTTGTTCAAATGCAACTTCTTCCATCCTAATTTGAGACTAAAAATATTATAACTACTTTCATCTGTTACTATTCTTTGCTTTACAATTTTGTCCACCTAGACATACTCATACACAAACCCCTTTAAAGGTTACAGCTTGATGACTAAAAAAACACACTCAACCATGTCTAAAATACAAAATCACAGAGGGAAAAACTGGCTTACACAAGTCTAGAACCATTTCCACTTTTCTTTCGCTTTTATCCATTTAAAGAAGCTTGGCTTTCTCACGTTATGGTGCAAGCCAATTTCACTCAAGTAATATTGAAGCATGCTGAAAACCACCACTTACTTTCTCAGCTTGAGTCCATACTTCAATATCTCCAAGGAATTTTTCTGGGCGAGTAGACAGGTTCAGTTTAAAAGAAAATCCAAATATGCTATATACTGTACGCAGAAAATCCAAACAACCTTTTATTTCATCCTCAATCTTTACAAAAAAAGAAAAAGGGAGGGGGGCACAATGGTAATTTAATTTTCCTTGATTTTCTTGACATGTCTTTCAAGGTGTTTCACCCCAGAGTCTCATACCTGCTCGATAGCACAGAATATATGGGCATCATCTTGTTGGAACCTTCGGACCCGAGTGAGTCCTGTGAGTGCTCCTGACAGCTCGTTCCTATGAAGCACCCCAAAATCAGCAACTCGCAGAGGCAACTCTCGCCAGGATCTTGGCCGATGATCAAACATGAGGCTAAAGAAGAGAGCAAAGTAAATTCCACTGACATTTAATTTCATAAGAACACAACTGCCTCTCTGAAACTGCTAAGAAAGGCTGTCAAATACTGGATCTAGCTGTTCATACATCAGAAGTCTGGGCTTCTCTAAGCATTTGCATGAATAAAGGAGCAAATAAATTATAATACAACCATCCATAACCAAGCCAGAATAAAAAATATATTTCCATTAAGCCTGAAGTCCTATCCTTGTGCTCTTTGAGGATGGCCTTTAAGGCTCATATTGTAAAGAAAATTTTAGCTACATAAACAGTGGAAACGAAAGTCTGTACTTTCTGTTGTGCTATGCAAGTCACTTCAGTCGTGTCCAACTCTTTGCTACCCTATGGACGTAGCCTGCCAGGCTCTTCGGTCCGTGGGACAGGCAAGAATACTGGAGTGGGTTGCCATTCCCTTCTCCAGAAGATCTTCCCAATCTGGGGATTGAACCTGCATCTCTTACGCCTACCTGCATTGGCAGGCAGGAGCTTTACCACTAGTGCCTCCTGTACTTTCTTACTGCTCCCTCAAGTGCTTTAGTTCCCAGTTAGTCTGAAGGCACTTCAGAAACTTTGAAGAACCTGGGAAGACTAAGAATGAACCTGAACTTGGCTCCCTGACCTACAAGTCAGGGCCCACGTGGAGACTCCTCTGTCTCATGCCCTCTGTCCTCGAGGCCTGGCTGCTGGGACTGGTGCTAGGAGCTGTGACTTGGCCACCTGCAGCCAGCCCCACCCAGCTCTCCCTGGTCTGCCTTACGCTGCTCCTCACCCAGCTTCCAAGGATACAGAGGGAGCTGCCTCAAGGAAAGGAGGATTTTCCAAGGATGTCAATTCATCAGCAGGAGGTTCTGATACATGTATCTTAAAAAAAAAAAAAAAAAAGTCTCCCCTGTTCTGTGTTCTGCCTGTTCACTGATGCTGCCCCAGTGCCACTCTTGAATGTGTACAGATCTGAGGATCTAGCTGGACACAGAAGACATTACACCACTTGCACTGATGATGTATTTAAATACTCTTCTGATTACATCATTTTTTAAAAAAATAATACTTCCAAAGGAGGAAAAACAATCTAGGACGGACGGCTAGAAAATCTGAGAGAAACTCAAAACTGCTGAATACCAGTGTCCCGGGCAGTTCATGGGTTTCAGAGCAAACAGTTCCTTTTCCACTTCAAAGGAGAACATGTTCTCGCTGTAGTGCTGCCAGTGGCCCGAGGTCACCCAGAGCCGGCTATTGTAGATGTTCGGGGTGACCACCTCCTGGAATCCTCGTTTCCTATATTCACTCTGTTAGGAAACAGACATAATGCATGTGTAGGGAATACATGCTTACACATCAGGTGCAAGGAACAATTTCACGAGCCATTTTATACTATCTAGTAAAGTTCAAGATTCACATCTTAAAATCTTGAAGCTCCGCCGGGAGGCATTCAACAAAGAGGAAGCCCCTGCATAGGTACAAGAGGAGGGTACCCCAGCACAACTGGTCACACGGGAGAAAGGGAAATGACATCAGTGTGCCCAGTAAGGAAATGGGCACACTGCGGAAGTTATACAGTGTGTTAATACTGAACAGGTGAAAATAAACTGGATGTGTACTTATCTGAAATGAAAATCACAGGGCAGACTAATACACAGCAAGACTTCATGCATGTAACTTTGAAGCATACAAACACCTAATTTAGATACATATTTATACGGTAGATGTAAAAATAACATGGACAAAAAGGATTCATCCATGATAACTTTACAATAGTACACAGTTTCTTCTGGGAAAGGAAGGAAGTAGATCAGAAAGGAGTCTCGAAAGAGAGTTTCTCCCCCCTTAGCATGTATGTATTACTCGGTTGTTTAGTTGCTAAGTAGTGTGTGACTCTTTAGCCCCAAGGACGACAGCCCGCCAGGCTGCTCTGTCCATGGGGCTTCCTAGGCAAGAATACTGGAGAAGGTTGCCCTTTCCTTCTCCAGAGGACCCTCCTGACCCAGGGATCAAACCCAAGTCTTCTGCATTGGCAGGAGGATTCTTTACCCCTGAGCCACCAGGGAAGCCCATGTATTACGCTACCTCAGTAAAAAATCTGAAGCAAATATAGCCCCGTTTGGATGTGTTTTAATTAGGAGACGAGTACAGAGATACTGGTGGTGTTATTCTCTATAAACGTACGGTTGTCACAGTTTACAAAGAAAAAAGTAATGTAAAGATTAGCTTGTTTTTCAAAGAAAATACAAATCAACAGTCAGAAAGCCACAGATCTCCCGCATAAGGGATTACGGGCCCCATTTCAAGCTCACCAGCTTGTCTCATGCATATATACCCACCTATATGGACAAGACCATGTATTAGGAGGAAAGAATTTTTTATACATTTTATGAGACCTAATACATCCATTTTCATTTATTCTTTAAAATGTTTCTTCTCAAAGACAAGGCTATCTTTCCCTCTGGCAGACCTTATCTCATAAAAATCAACTTATGTCTTAAATCTACAGAAGAATGAATATGGCTTACCCTGATGAATTCAATAAGTGTGTTATAAATGTAGGCTCCCTTGGGCAGGAAAAAGCAACTCCCAGGGCTGAGTTCATGGAAGAAGTAGAGTTCTTGGTCCTGGGTATACAAAAGCAAAAGGAAGTTTATACGTATATATATGGATCATGCCGGGCACAGAGTGAACACACTTGCAGAAATGAGTATTTTTTTTTTTTACCAAACTTAACTTCCAGTTTAGAAAACATCCAGGGGTCGAGGAATAAAGCAAGGGACACCACAGAATCCACTGGTGATTCTCTGTGTCATCTTGGGCAACAGGCAGATAAACGTTCCTGGGACTTAAGTTTCCATGTCTTTCAAGTCAGTCAGCAAGAGCAGGGAATTGCAAAAGCATCTCCCAGGCCTACGAAATGCTGCTATACTTCTTTTACAGAAAAATGTAGGCCATCAACATGTGTTCTCAATAAAAGGAGTAGTTAAAATGAATTACTGCACAGTACTGAACACACTCTAGAAAGATAATGTGGATGATGAATAAGTAATTTACAGCTTTTCCAGGACAGTACAGTAAGTCCTTGAAAGCTACAGCACCTCTTCAGAATTAAATTCCCATTACCTGATACAATTATATTTCAAATGAAAATCTGGTCTACACACACTATTCTTTTTAAACATACCCTTCCAATTTTCCTATGATCTCGGTTTTTAGCCTCCTCTTGGAACTTCTCCCATTCTTTCAGCATCTTAGGATCTGGAAATGAAATGCCATAAATTCTCTGTAGAGTCTCCATATCTGACTTGCCTTCCCAGTAGGTGGAGGAATTCTGAAAAAAAGGAATAACCAAGAGATAACGTTCAAACTCTTAATATCTCATTTAAGAGTTACATGTTATTTCTCACAGTTACATTATAAGTCAAATTCGTATTTAGCCCTTATTTCAAGAAAAATGGCACCAAAAGCGAACATGTAGTATATAAGCATCTCCCAGTTGCTGAGGTCTGTCTAGAGTGGTTGTACTCACTCCACAGCATGAAGCTAGTTGCTTAATCCTCTCAAAATTGCCCAGTTCTCAATACAAACTGACATCACAACTCCACAAACAAAACTGACTTTAGCAGCACCTTTCTTTCACAACAAGATTCGGCAAAAATGGAAAATCAGCTAACCAACCACAAAAAAAATTTTATTGGCCTGATTAGTTTGGTTAAAAAAGAACAACTTGGATAATTACCACCTTAGACATACAAAAGTCAAAAGCATGCACCCTATAGTGAGTCGGTCTCAAAGCTTGACTGTGTGATTTTGTAAGTTCCCCAAATCTCCACCACCATGTGCTCTGGTGATGGGTGGTGAGTCTCTCAGTCACTGCTTGAGAGAATTTCAGTTAAAAAAAAAAAAAAATGGCTACAGACACACAGTGTCCACAGTCAGCAGACAGCACAAGAAAAAAATCCACCCTTACACATGCAAGAGAAACATGGCTGAAAAGAGAAATGAATGCAAGTTTAAATAAACATACATCTTTAGTAGACAAGTATGTCTATATAGAGCCTCCAAAGTTATACTGCTTACTTTGTGTATTTTCAAAGTCTTGATTTTGCCAGTGTGTCTGACATGAGGACCCCGGCAGAGATCTATCAAGGGACCACACCTGAAGATTAAAAAAAAAAAGGAAAAAGACTTAAAATGACATATACAAAGACTTAAAATGACATATACAATAGTAGTATTTAACGACACTTGATATTCTCACCTATAGACTGTGGTAGTTGGAGTATTCACTTTTTCATTCAAAATCCTGCATTTGAACTTGTTGTACTGAAAATAGAAAAAATTATTTTAAAAAATAACCACTCTTCAATTTTTACTTCTAAATACTGTAGCTAAAATACAATGTGAAGTATGTCTAATCATTGTATGACTATAAATGTCATACATGTTTTAAAAACATTTGTTAAATTTTTCTAAAGAACAGGATAGGCATCGACTTAGTATGCTAAGCCCAATGTACTTTAAGTAATGTTAATGAGTGAAACAGAAGTAGAGGCCATGCTACAGTTCAATTTACCTTAAACATTTCCAGTAAAGTTTCCTTCTTAACTTCTAATCTTTCAAAAGCTTGCTTTTCTTTAATGATTTTCTTACATAAAGTCTCCAAAGAAGAGAAATCATTGCTGGACACACCCCTGAAGAATAAAATAGAATTAATCTCTTTCTATCCCATTCTACTCACACCATAGCTTGGGGGAACATGTCTTTAGAATACATCAAAGGTTTTTATTTAATATAGAATATCAGACCCCTGCATTATATTAAGAATTTTAGACCTCGGCATCGTATATTAAGAATTTTAGACCCTTGTATCATATATTAAGAATTTTAAACTAGACATGTTTTTTATAAACTATTTTTATATTTTCAGTGACTTCGAGCTTGCTCTTCATAAAGACTATTCCCACATGTCCCACTAGGAAAGGAGAGGTTCAACCTTCATTTCATTTCCCGACATAAGGTTCAGGTCTATGATCTAAATCATCTTTGTTGATCTCTCAAGAGCTCTCAAGAAAGTCTTTACTACTTCATGAGTTACTACAACACTTCAAGTTTTCTTAGCAGGAATACTGGCTAACTATGAAGCAATAAGCTTTATATCATTTCTCCTTTATTGACAAATCTTTAGTAGTTCAGCTTTTCTTTTCCTTTACCCAGTTACACAGCTTACCCTTCCTCGAGGTACATGTCATAATAGAACCCGTTTTCTATCGGCGGTCCGTAACACAGACAGCCACCGTAGACTCTTTCCATGGCTTCGCCCATTATGTGAGCACTCGAGTGCCAATACACCTGGAAATTCCAAGAGAAATAAGGTGGCTTGAGTCTGGGAGTACAAGTTGTAAATTAATTGTTTGTTTTGAAAGATACATAAAGTTTAGTATAGAATAAACTCAAGACAAGGAGATCTAAATTTATAAATCTACCAATTGCAATGTGATTCTACTCAGAGCCAAAAGGATTTAAAAGGATTCTAATTACTAAATTGTATTTGTATATTAGAAATTATCTGTTCAAACAAATTAAAATACAAATTAGCACCACTAATTAAATTGGATGGATTTTGTTCCCTGAAAACAACAGGTACCCACAACATGACTGTCATATTAACTGCAATGGTCTAGGGTCTCTTGAGTCAATCCCACAGGCTATGCTCTGGCCTTTACTTAAGGCTGTGGAATATCACTTACAAGTTATACCTGATTTTTTTCTTATTCTGTTTAGTTGCTCAGTTGTGTCCAACTCTTTGCGACCCCATGGACTATAGCCCACCAGGCTCCTCTGTCCATGGGGATTATCCAGGCAAGAATACTGGAGTGGGTTGCCATGCCCTCCCCTCTAGGGGATGTTCCTGACCAGGGATCCAACGCAGGTCTCCCACAATGCAGGTGGATTTTTTACCATCTGAGCTACCATGGAAGCCCTTTTTTCTTTTTGACCCCAAACAACATACAACTAGAGCCTATAATACAATTTAAAACCAAGAACAAACACATGGACCTTGAAATCAAAATAAAAAGTAATAAGTAAATTTAAATTCTCATAAAAAACTTCCAGAGTACATTTGGAAACCATTGATTCATGTAAGCAAATCACCGTCACTAAAACAAAATATTTTATTTCTTCTTATATGGTATTCCACCCTGGAGAAATAAGGGGAAAACTCTGCTGTCAAATGCAGACTGATTTTTATAGTGCTTTCAGCATTTTAAGGTAAGAAATATATGAAAATCAATTTTCCAAAAGGAACAGAAATTTAAATCATGTTCAAATTTAATAAAAAGATACATCTTAAGTGTTGACTAAAAGTGTAGAGAACAATTTTTACTTGCTTAATCAATTTCTAATAAAATTCTGAGCACTTTCCCCTCACTGAAGTATCTTGAGTAAGAATAAATTTGAATTAAGTGCACTTCTTAATTTTATAAAAACAAACACTTTTATTCTGTTTCCTACATGAAAGACAAAAATCAAGACTTCAAATATGACAATGAGACATCAACCAACTTTAACCACCTGTTGGCTTAAATAATAAGCCGGAATAGACTGTGAATCTGAATAAAAACTTACTGCTTGAGCTTCCTCATCCTCAAACTTGAGCAGCTCCAAGGTGCAATCTTCCTCCAGAGGACGGTCTAGGTCCCAGACGGCTTTATTCACCTTAGCAATGACAGTGTTGTCGGCCAGGCCTTGACTTAAAATATATACACACATGTATAAAAACACAAGACTCTATAAAAAAGAATCTTCTGTAGCACAACAGTTGATGTGAGAATCAAAATAAGAAACATTATATACAGGCATATCTTGTCTTTGCTACACCCTGTAGACACACACACACACAATATGTGTGTGTGTGTGTGGGGGGTAACCCTGCATCAAGCCTGTCGGCACCATTTTCAGAACTGCATTTGCTTACTTTGTGCCTCTGTGTCACATTTTTTTAATTCTCACAATATTTCAAGCGTTTTCATTATGATGATACTTGTTATGGTGATCTGTGATCTTCGATGTTAGTATTAAGATTTGCTGTAGGTTCAGATGATGGTTGGCGTCTTTTAGCAATACAGTGTTTTTAAATTAGGGCATGTCCTGTTTTTTCAGACCAAACTATTGGACAGTTAATAGATTACAGTATAATGCAAACAACTTGTATATGCACTGTGAAACCAAAAAATTCAAATGACTTGCTTTTCTGCGATGGTCTGGAACTGAACCTGTAGTGTCTCTGAGGTTTGACTGTGTATTATATGGTGATGTACATTTAACTTTCTGAAATAAAATTAAAAAGCAACAGAATTCAAGATAGTCCCCAAGAATATAACTAGAAGATTCTGAAAATTTCAAACACTATTATTTGACATCTAATGCTTCTTGTTTAAGCAAACATGGCAACTGTAACAATAACAACTTCCAGTAGCTAACATTTTAATTTCTTAAAAATTAATTTTCCATAAAACCAAGCTATTTAAACTCCAAAGAAAAAAAGGGGGGGGGGGGGGGGTAGATAGGGCGGTTCTAAATAACTTCTCTGCTTTTCTTCTGTTTGAAATCTGTAACAGATCTTTCCTTTGAGAGGCGACACTAATCTCAGAATTCTGCAAATGCCTAAGATGATATTATTTACAACAAACATATATGTGAAATGAAATGCTATCTAATAAAACGTTTTATAATACGGATAAAAACGTCACCTAAATACATAGTACAAAGTACAAGTGATGAGGTGTCAGACCACAGCAGGTACAGAAGTCACAGGAGCTCTGAGGAAGTGAAAGCAGCACAGATCAGAGGCGCCTGGACAGGCTTTAAACATAAAGTAACCAGGTGTCTAGTGGTTAAGAAGCCGCCTTCCTTCCAAAGCAAGGGACGCGCATTTGATCCCTGGTCGGGGAATGAAGATCCCACATGTTCTGGGCAACTAAGCCTTCACACCACAACTACTGAGCCTGCATGCTCTAGAGCCAGCAGACCACAAATAGAGAGAAACCCACACATCGCCATGAAGAGCCCATGTGCCATACCGAAAGATCCACATGCTGGAACAAAGGTCCATGATGCCAGAAAAAAGACCCGATGCAGCCAAAAATAAACAAATATTAGAAAAAAATAAAGTACCCGGGGGCTGAAGGATCAGAAGATTTGGACAGGAAGAAAAGCAGAGGAGGAGGTACTCCAAGTGTGAGAACTGGCATGGATGCAAGCAGAGATATGTTAGGAAAGGTACAGGCAGCCGTGTGGCTCAGGCAGGATTGAGTATGGTTAGTCAGATTACAGATGCGAGCGTGCAGCTGGAGAAGCAACAGTCTATTCTCTATACTATACTATACTATATCTATACCATAACCTGACAAAAGCAGGCAACACCCTACACCATGAAGCCTTCACACGGTGAGTCTTAAGTTTACCACCAGCAGGCTTGGACTAGCTGAACTTGCTGTGGGAGCTGGTTCACTCCTTGTTCTGTTTACGGGTTTACAACCTGTTTATATATCCTTCCCCGCCGAAGCATCAGAACTGAAGAACAAACAGAAAACCCATTCCTACCCCATCTTCAGTGTTCCCACTGAATTTCCCATATATTATACCCAATGTTTCCTTTCCCCCTGAGATCAAAAGGATCAAATAAAAAAAAAAGTCTACATTCACAAAAGATACATGGATTTGTCAGAGGGAAATATATTTTATCATACTGGTGTAAAACACTTGTCAAAAGATTAAAGTACTGATGAACAGGTGATTAATATTCTCTGTATTCTTTGGAAAGAAAATAAGTTTCACCTTAGGATCCAAAAGGTACTCTGAGATGCTTACAATTTTGAAAATATAGATTATACATGAATAATACTGGCTCATTTCAATTTTTCAAAGAAGGGGTAAAATAATCTACAAAGTAAGATTTGGAACAAAATTTCAAAGAAAAACATTCTGAAGCAAATGGAGCAACCCCCCCTCCCTTTTTTCCTTTCATATATTTACTACAAATCACCTGAACCTTTAAATAGCCTGTTATTCATGCTATACATTTTCACAGAACAAGAAGTTATTCCAGGCTTTTGTAAAAGTGTCATAAAACACTCACTTTCATATCAGTGACTTAATTCTAGGCCTAGAGTTCACCAGTGTCTTACATGGTTCAACTTAGAATTTTGATGTTTCCCCCAAAATATTTTCTGACTAGTTAGCCACAATGGAAGCATTAATTAAAAAGAAAGGGAAAATTATTTTCCAATTGGCCACTTGATAAAGTACAACATAATCTGAAGAATGTTGCAGTATGTAGAGAATGAGTTCCTGGAGTGACAGGAGCCTGGATTTTAACAATGACACAGCTACCATCTTGTTGCACAACAACGGAGAAATCTCTTAAACAACCAACCTGTAAAATTCTCTCTCAAGTGAAAGGCTGAACTGATACTTGTATCTTATATATATACTTATATCCATATATCCAGTTATATATGACCTCACATGGAAACTTGCTTAATATTCTTACCACCTTTGGAGTAAGGCAGAAGTACTTTAGGTAGAAATACTTGTCGAATTAATAGCAACATTCCATCCCCTTTGTAAGAAGGCCAGGGACACATGGCTCATGGGCCGAACTGCTCCTACTCCCACTAGCTGCATAGTGGGCTTACCAAAACCCAGCTGTATGTGATGGCTCCCAAATTTGTTTGTGCACTTGTTATTGTATATCTTAGGTTCAACAATATGATAGCGATGATAATCATTTTTGACAATTCATATGATGATTTCAGTGGCTTCAGCTCAATATGTAATCATTATAAGTAAACAGAAACAGGTAAATAATACAACAAGGGAATTGCAATTCTGTGAAAACCAAGTTGAATGTTTGGGAAGGCTTGATACAGGCAAGTCACTTAAAAAAGAAGTTGTCAAGTCAGGTGTGGAGGAAACAACTACATAAAAATCTGGAAGGATTCGCACTCAGAAGGCTTCTCAAGTGTGTTAAGATAATGTAAAAGTTTAATTAGCACTCCACCCACCCCCAACCTTGGTATTATGGTCTTATTAGTCATTTTTTTTATGACCATAGTTTGCCAATATCGGGTAGAAAATATATGTATCAATTTATGTCAGGTGTGGATGAAACAATTGCATAAAAATCTAGAAGGATTTTGCACTCAGAAGGCTTCTCAAGTGTGTTAAGATAATGTAAAAGTTTAATTAGCACTCCACCCACCCCCAACCTTGGCATTATAGTCATATTAGTCATTTTTTTTTATGACCATAGTTTGCCAATACCTGGTAGAAAATAAATGTATCAATTTATGCCTTTCCAACTTTATCATTTTTTGATAAATTTACCAGCTATTCATCCCTATCATATCAAGAAAGCATTTACTTTATTACAAAGTATGCATCTAATTTTCACTTACCTGAATTTACTTTAACTCAGCCCAACGAAAGTTTTAACATTAGATTTACAAAAATAATAGTTTTTCACATGTCATGTTAGTTTTTTATCTTTCCCATTTGAGATGAGCTTTCATTTTTAATTTTAAAACTGAGAATTTTAGTAAAAATAGATGACGCAGTCTCTACTTGCTTATGTGACATTTTATGATCAAAGTAGAAGAAATATATGAGGATATGCAATCCACTCCAGTATTCTTGCCTGGAGAATCCCATGGACAGAGGAGCCTGGCAGGCTACGGCGTCCATAGGGTCGCACAGAATTGGACACTACTGAGGTGACTTAGTATGCATGCATGCAGAAGATATATAATCTTTTGTAAAATAAGACCAAAGTCTTCAAGATATTAACTTTGAATCTTGACCACAAAGCTCTAAACTGCTTTGATTTTTTAAAAAACCCAAATAAAGTAAATTAAACAATAAAAGCATTGAACAGGAACATAACCGTTATGAGGACAAAACTTGGCAAGATAAAAAAAAAAAAGTTTAGTTACAAACAACTAATGGTCAAGACAGGTATAGCTCATACCTAATTCCACAAGCAATTTGATATGGTGTAGTTTTCCAGGATTCTGCATCCACCTGTTTACCATCAGGCAGGGTGACTTTAATAGGCTTACTATCTTTTTCTGCCTTTTCTGCCAGAATGGAATCGTGTTCTGCTTTTAGCTTATTGTACATCTCAAGACGTGTGTTAATATATTCGGGCCAAGGATTCAACTGCAAGATAACAAATAAACAGTCAGTAACAAATAAACAGTCAGTATTCCTTTTCATATAGAAAAGCAAAAGAAATAATAATAAAAAGATTTATCTTTTTTTTTTTTAAAGATCTATCTTATGTGAAGTAGTGCTTTGTTTTTTTCCCTCTTACAAAATTTCCTTCTCATTTCAATCCAATTTTTTTGGGGCCTTCAATTTTTTTTTTTAATGGAAGAGTCTTGATCTCTTTATAACTCCCTCCTACCACAGTCCTTCCCTTTCTTTAGTTATTCAGGGGCTCCTAGGGGGCTTTTCATTAAATCATCACAGGGGTCCATAATCCTTGATAGGGAAGCACCAATAAATTAACTGAAAGCTCAGAGCCCATCATTCTATTAATACAATGCTGCTTACATTACCTGGTCCCACCTACTCAGAAGCATCAGTACGGTCCTACCCACCCACATAACCCTCTGGATCTTACTGCCGTTTACCTCCACGTCCATTTGGCACTTCCTGATCAGAAGCACTTAGTGTTAAACTTAACTAATTCACCACTCATGGAGCAGATATTCTCTGTATCTGGCCCTGCAGAGGAGAAGAAAACCTACCCACTGCCCTTAGAAGGGAACCAGACAAGTACATAAATGATGGGAGTATGGAGGAGGAGGAAAGGTCTTGGATACCTCACTGTACACTTTTTTCCAGACAGATCACTTAACATACATAATCAGTCACATCACACACACATTCTTGAATCAGAAAAGTCCTCGAATTATATCCCTCCTTTCCTATTTCCAGGCTAGTTCTCAAACCTTAACAGAAGAGCACGTACTACTCGTATTGAAAGTATAAAAAAGAAATTAGGGAACATTATGCATTTTCTTACAAATTCTGAAATTCAGTCAACAATTCCCCCTACAGTTACAGTGGGATACAATGGACAGAACATAACAGCAATGGTTATGCAGGGCTCTAAGCAACACTTAGTGGTGCTTGATCACCTACAAACTTACGTTTCAGTAAGTGGAAGTGCTTTAAGCTGAGCAATGCAACGTTTATAAAAAGAGCTCTTAAGTCAATTTACGGTGCTATAGGGTACTTCTTAAGAGCCTATTCCTTTCTTCTTCTGTCTTTTGGTCATTTTCTAAAGAATCTCTAATAAAACAGCTGCAATGACAAAAGCAAAAAGTGAAGCCTAGTTCACAGTAGTTCAACTTCAAGAACAAAGTAGGAAGACGAGTGTCACCGCCTCCTGCAGCACCCAGGAACTAGGTGGATTCTGGGATGACTCCTGAGATGCCAGTTCCTTCCAGTGTCTGCCTGGTGAACCGAAAGCATTTTTGCTACACTTGTGAGGCCTCCAGGAGATTTGTCCTGGCTTAAAACCAGTCCCTAGTGGCAGGTCCAGGTGGAAAACAGTGTGAATGGGGTGAAGGAATGGGGCTTTCTTTGGTTTCTCTTGTACTCAATATAAGCTCAAACACCAAGTCTCTCAATGTCTCATTGAAGGAAATGGTCAGAGGGCTAGCACCCAATCTGGAAACTGAATAATTATCACAGTCCTCTGTTTACCAACGTTTGTTCTCTGGTTTTCACATCTAATCCCACAGATTATCTTACAATCATACTTCAGCTGTTTTTCTTTTTCAATAACAAGTAACCGCTAGTCTTTCTTTCCCTCTTAGACTTTCCTGGTTCTTCTCCCTGATTTTTCCATCTTGTGCCATCTTAAAATCCCATGAAAACCATAAGACTCTCACACAGGACGAGTCTAAGACAGTTTCCTGCCCGGTCAATCTCTGATGAGAGAGCCCTGAAAACATTTACCTCTGATCGACCTCCATCCCCTGATCCTTCTTTATTCTTCTTCTTGCTTCCTTCCTTTTGTTTCTCTTCACCAGCACCTACCTAAAGAAGCAAAAAAGACATGAAGGCTCTTTATTTTAATTTAATTTGACATCCATCCAAGCTACCCCTAGGAAAGTTTTGAGGATGTTATTTTAGCATCTGTTTTTTAAAAAAGTGGAAGTCTGATTTTGAAAGAGGAGGAAATTTCACCACTGCCAAAGACAAGTTAACAACTTACAATTAAGACAGGCCTTTAAAAAGCACAGAAGAGTTACTTGGTAATATCCAAGTCCTCAAATTTCATTCACTTTCCCTATTCTCATGATTCCTGCTTCAAGTTTAAAAGGACATATACTATATAGCCACAAGAAGCATGCAATTTATTCAGTTTGTATTTTCAGGAAAAAAAAAATACTAATGTAATATATACTGACCCATTCCACAAATACTACCCAGAGCCTCTGTGCTCACAGTATTTTTATTAAAACCCTGCAGAAGAAGCAAACATAAGACTCAATCCCTATCATGTATAAACTTGATCTTTCCAGAGAAACTAAGGCATTCAGGTGTGAGAAACTCCTAGAGGAGAAAAGAAAACAGCTGTAGCACCCTGATGTGATGTCAGATGCGCTAGGACAACAGCAACCATTAGGGCTTTAAAAGACTTTACAGGACGGAGGTTTCAACAGGCTGGATGTTGAGAATGGAGGACATTTCTTTGTTTTGTTTCTTTATTATTTTAAAACTTTCTATTTTGCATTGGGGTATAGCTGATTAACAATGTTGTGACAGTTTCAGGTGAATAGCAAGCGAAGGGACTCAGCCATACATATACATGTATGACAATGAAGGACATTTCTTTATTGCTGGAAACGAGACAGTGATAACGACTAAACCTCTTAGGAAATCTTGTCACTGGAGACAAGAGAGGGCTCAGACAGAAGTGCTAAAAGTTACCATAAAAAATGTGGACTTCTTAGAATTCAGTTCAATTCCAGAAGTCACAGAAAGTTTTAAAGTAGGAAGCCCTGTGCAAGAAGAATGGCAGGAACTAGTCTTAACCAGTGGTTCTCACCCAGAAGCAGTGCCCTGTTCAGTGAACGTCTGGCAATGTCTGGAAACCTTTTTGCTTGTCACAACTGGGGAGTACAATTGGCATAGACTGGGCAGAGGCCAGGGATGGTGCTAAGCATCCAACAAGGCACAGGACAGCTTCCCACAACAAAGAATTATCCAGTGTGTAGTGTCAAGAGCATTGAGGTTGAGAAATCCCAAACCACATTAAGGAATACTACAGGGAACGGCTACCCACTCTAGTGTTCTTGCCTGGAGAGTCCCATGGACAGACGAACCTGGTGGGCTATACAGTCCGTGTGATTGCAAAGAGTCGGACATGACTAGCAACCAACAGTACCACACTACTACAAAGAGTATCGTCTCAGAAATAAATGGCTTACCTCCCTGTCACTGCTCAGAGAGAAACATCCTAGAGCAAATTTCACCACCTAAGTTTTACCATCTACAGAGTTCCTCCACAATCACCTCGGATTCTCACAGAAACACTGTGAGATGGCTATCATTATTTCCATTTTATGCATGATTAAATTAGAAGAAGTTAGATAATTTTTCTAGGTTCAGAAAACCTTAAGTGGTAGGAAGAAAAGACACCCACCCAGAAGCTGACAGTGGTCAACTCTAAGGGAGGAAGTGATCTTCAGCAGTGAAGGAGTGTTAGGGCAGAACTGGGGATGGGGGCGGGGGCACAACACTTTAGTTTTGTAAATGTTTTTGACCTTCGCACTCTTAAAAAACAGTTCAAGATATATTCCTACACCATAAAATGCACCCACAAAAAAAAAAAGCATAATTCAATGGTTTTTCAGTGTATTTACAGTTGCCCAATTATCACCACAATCAATTTCATTATCTGCAAAGGAAATCCTGTACACATTAGCAGTTATTCCCTCCTCCCCCGTCTCCCCAGCACTTGGCAACAACTAGTATTTCTGTTTCTATAGCCGTGCCTATTCTGGGCATTGCATACAAATGGAATCATATAATAAAGTCATTTGTGACTGGCTTCTTTAAGCCAGTATATGATTTCAAGATCATCTACATTACGTGTATCAGTACTGCACTCCTTTTTACTGTCAAATAACATTTCATTATTTATCCATTTATCACTTATGGACATTTTGATCGTTCTTTTCAATTTCACAAAACTTATGACTTGCATCATTTAAAACACAAAATTGTAAAAATACTACTCCAAATTTCCTTTTAAGCTAACACATCCCCTACTTCGGGATTCAGGACTTAATGAACTTTTAAGGTTCATCTACAGCCGACAGTTGAACAATGAATACACTGTTAAGTCCATTCTAGTCAAGTAAAGTACTGGCAGAATTCTAAGATTACCTGCATGCCTTCACTATATGATTAATATTATATTAATTATGATAGTGAATATTACGTGATATATATTATAATATACACTACATATACAAGTAATATATAATATGTAATAATAGAATATAATAGTGAATATTAATATTATTAATAACTAGCCAAGTATTCAGGTAAAAAGATGGATACAAAATTAATTGCAGGTCTATCTATGAAAAATCAAAACGGAAAGAGAAGGAAACATTTCTGGTTTTCGGATTAAATGTTTTTGGTCACATGGATACTGCTAAATGAAAGCAGTAATGATAAAGGAGAGAACTAACATCAAGGTTTTTTTCTGTGTTCTACAACACCTCTCCATTTGACAAAAGAGGCTAGTGGCTCAAAAAGAGCAAGTAACTTTCTATTTGCATACAGCTAGTAAACAGGGTTTCCCTTAAAGAAAACGTCTGCAATGCGGGAGCCCTGGGTTCGATCCCTGGGTTGGGAAGATCCCCTAGAGGAGGGCAAGGCAACCCATTCCAGTATTCTTGCCTGGAGAATTCCATGGACAGAGGAGCCTGGTGCGCTACAGTCCATAGGGTCGCAAAGAGTCGGACACGACTGAGCGACTAAGCACAGCATAGTGAACAGTAGAGCCACACTAAAATGGGTCTCTCTGGAACCCTGAGGTCCACTTCCCCTTTCCTGTAACAACTGGAAACGTGACGGGGCGGCCGTTCTTTATTTCCAACGAAAACAGAAGATGGGCAAGTGTACATACTATATATTTACATAAAAGCGATCTGAACTTTCAACCCAAAAGTTGGCCCACAGAACAGGATTGGGAAGATGTTTCCAAGCATCGTATGCCACTAAAGCGAAAAGTTCAGACGTGAAATGATGAACGTTTGTCAATGTGATAAGGCAAGCCTCCAGCATCCGGCAACAGTGTAACTTCTCTAGAGTCTGCCAAGTGGGGTGGTCTCCACCGTTTATTATACACTTGGGCAGATATCGGTGACTTGGTTTTCCCTTACTGGGTCTTTTACCCGTACATGGTTTCAAAATTAAATGAGGCTCCGCAACATTCTTCCGGACTAAAGTGAGCCAAAGACGCTAGTCTAGATTCTAGTTCTGTCTCGGCTTCTAATCAGTTGTGTGGCTCTGATCAAGACACTCAGCGGCCTCATCTACAAAAAGAGGATGGACCCGGAGACGATCTGCAAGGCCCCGTCCTGCTCTATGAATCTGCGATTCCCCTCCAAAGGGGGCCCTGACTCGTCCCAGAGTTCGATCGCCCCCCGCCCCGGGTTCCTCCACCCCTCCCTCTCCCCACGTTGGGCAACACGGGCACCAGAGCCCCAGCGCGGCCTCCGGGATCCACTCAGCCCACTCACCGGCTTCTCCTCGTCTCCCATTTTCGCTGAAGGGCCACTGGCCTGCTCCTCGGACACCCGCAAACCACCAAGAGAAAACTAAACCCCAGATCGACTGCCAGGAGGAAACGACAGCCGTCGCCAAGCAGAGGTGGGCAGCGCCTCGTGGTCCACAGATGATGCAATCGGGAACCGCCCAAACTCCGCCTACTCCAACCTGATGGGAGAGCAGGCAGCTAATCGACAACCCGGAATGGCGGGCCCTCCTTTCTCTAAGCCAATGGAAAAGCGTCTTTGGCGATACCCCTTCTAGAAAACCAGGCAGCGGCGGGGCGGGAGAGGAAACTACAGAACCTGCACTCACTCCTGGCGAGTTACAGGGTCATCCCCGGAGCCCAGAAGTCCGCAATGCGCGTGCGCCTTCTTCCGGGCTGACTGCGCCTATTACTCCAGGGCCCTTTCGGCCGCCGTAGCAAGCAAGACGCGCTAAGTCTGAGCTTCCGGGAAGTTTCCGGTTACCGGTTCCTGGCCCAGGGTCAGACCCTGCAGCAGAGGCCAGAGTTCCTTGATGCTTTGGGCTCTCTGACCTTCCGTGAGTGCTGAGTTCTGCGGACTTTTCCCTGCTCTCAAGTCTATGGCGGTGAACCAACCGAGGCCCTCCTTCTTGCAATCCAGAGTTCCCAAGACCTAAGCCTTGTTGATCCGGGGACGAGCGCCTTTCCTCGGGCATTCATTATTATTACACGCTACCTCCAGTCTATTGCATCAGGGAACTCTTCCACAGAGACTATGAAAATGCAACGAAACTTTACTTAAGGAAATAACCACGCCGACTCCGCGGATTCTCCCTCACAGAGGTCTCAGTGTTTGGAATCGAATGACTCTTCTTTCCTTTATTTTATCAATCAATTTAAAACAGTCGCTGTTTTGAAATCAGAAGCATAATGAGCTTGTTTACAGTTTATGTACTCCACCAAGTTTCATGGATTATATTTTCTAAACATCAGTCCTCGACAACTTGCCTCCTTCAGGGTCATCCTTTCATGAAGCTCAGTCAATAGCCTCCTAACCCGATTTCTTGGGCTCATTTTTTTTTTCACATGCAAGCAGTCTATTTCTCAGTGAATTTCCTTTTATTATCTTTCCACAAGGGAGAATAGTCTTTTTAAAAAAATAGAAATATAATCATGGCAACCTCTAGCTTAAAACTCTCAAGTGGCTTTCAGTGTAAAGAAAGTCATGGTTTTGAAGGCCTCTGACTGCCCAACTTGTTCACTACACTGAGCTGCAACCTTAATGACATTTTTATTTCTCTTGTCTGCCTATTGAGGCTATTCTCATCTCTGCCTGCCCCACATACTTTTTGCCTATTTAGCAACTACTTATTAGATCTCAGAAATTGTTTTCTTTGAGGGAGAATTTCTTGACCACTCTTACTGGGATGGGGTGAGTCTCCCTGTTACATATTCTGGTAGCTTTCTGTACCGCTCTTTATAGCACAATTGTAAAACCACTTCAGTTCTACCATTAAAAAAGTTATTTTCTCAGGTTGAAAACGTCACAGAAGCACAACTTGTGTATTTTTGCCAGCATCTAGCAGATAAAAGCCTGACACACAGTTGATGTTCAATACATGTTGAGGGAATTAATGAGTGTTGAGACAATCCTTGCTTGAAAAACTGCCTCTTAATCTGGATTGTGAAAGAAAGAAGCCCAAGCAGCCTCTACACTAATACGATTGAGAAGAAGGTCTATAATTAGAGTAGATTATTAGTAGTACTTGGTAGATGTTCTCTTTCAGAAGTTCCAGGAGTCAGACACAATTTTATAGGCTTAAGTAAATCAATCTGACTTCCCATATTTAAATCACAATGAGAATCAGCGAGATCTAGTCTTTGCTTCTAATGCAAAACAATTTAATTGTGCTCATTAGCAGTGTTTTCCTGAATTATACCTAAATTTTAAATGAGACTGATGAAGACAAAGAAAGATCAAGATACTGAATATGCTAGAGGCAGAACAGTGTTAGTCATTCAGTCGTGTCTGACTCTGTGACCCCATGGACTGCAGCCTGCCAGGCTCCTCTGTCCAATGGATTTTCCAGGCAAAAATACTGGAGTGGGTTGCCATTTCCTTCTCCAAGGGGTCTTCCTGACCCAGGGATGGAACCTGGGTCTCCTGCACTTCAGGCAGATTCTTTACCCTCTGAGCCACCAGAGGCAGAATAAGATTGGCTAAAAATTACAGTGTTCTTACTGTGGTGAAACTTGTTCTCATTTAACCTCAGAACCAATGCTGGCCTAAGAATGGTAAAAAGAAAAAGCAAAAGGCTTTTCTGAAGGGTTCAATGTGGTGCAGGAATGTAGAAGCTGCTGCAAAAAAAAAAAAAAAATTAGTTGCTGGCTGTATCCTGATGGCACAGTGCCCTCTGGTGTTAGGAAAGGGGTACTTTCATCACATGCACATTGAGAACTAAGCAAAGATGGGAGCTTCCAGCAGATCTCAGTCCATGCTGTTATGCAACTTTTTTGTATTTACCATCCACACAAAAATGTTGACTGACAACCAGTATTATGCTTAGTACCCTACATACTTTCTAAGATAGTGATTTCCAACAGCTCGGCATTGTGAAGTGGAACAAAATTATTTAAGAGCTATGCTACAAAAAAATGTTACAAATAATGGAAGATTGCACATAATCAACTTTTTAGAAATATGAATTAGAGAAGATTCAAGATGATCTATAATAATTTCTTATTCACTCATGTAAGAACATTAGAGGAAAAAAAAAAGGAATTACAAAGGGTGTATAACAATGGAAGAAAGTTCTGCTTTGGTGTTGGTACATCTTAGAAAAAACATTCAGTTGGAACATAACCAGGTAAGAATAATCTGATTACAGTGAGAATGAGGAGGGGTGGCATTTGGTTACAAAGAGACTCATTTTGTGATTTTAACTAATAGGGAATTTATCCCTAAGCTACATGAAGTAGAAAGGGAAATGGGACTCTCATCTGTGAGGCCAGGCCACAGGGACTGTAGGAAAATTGACAATTGGGCCTCATGGGAGGCTGCAAAGACTGCAGCTTGATGAGTAATCAGAATCTGAGGTATCTGTTGTAACAGGAAGCTGTGTCTTTGAACTCTAGTAGGAGGCTTCCCTGGTGGCTCAGTTGGTAAAGAATCTGCCTGCAGTGCAGGAGATATGGGTTCAATCTCTGGGTCAGGAAGATCACCTGGAGGAGGAAATGGCTACCCACTCCAGTATCCTTACTGGGAAGTCCCATGGACAGAGGAGGCTGGCATCCACAAGGTCTCAAGGAGCTGGACATGACTGAGCAACTGAACTTGAGAAGAGCACTCTGCTAGTAACAAGATTCAGTTAGTCTTGTCTTTTGCTCCTCCTAGTACCAGCTGGCCAGTTTATTCCATGTGTCTTGGTTCAAATTACAAGGGAGTATGAAAGTAGTTGTCTAATGACTAGGGCACAGCATTGTAAGTTACAAGCCAGCTTATGGATGGATTGGTTGTTCCTTGGTTGGCACCAGGTCAAGTGCCTCCCCTGGTCTGATCCGTAATAGCTGAGGGGCTGTCATGTGGTACAGCCATCCTGCTGCAGGGATCAACTGCTTTCCCCATAGAGGGTGGGCATCTTGAGAAGGAGATGATGAACATGACAGGTGCTGACAAGCGTTATCTCTAAGGCAAAAGTTGTTTGTGATTCAACAGTATTTTCAGTTACTGTATAGAAACTTGGGTGTTATTTCACTTAAAAATGACCAAGAGCGTTCTTTTTGTTCCGGGGTGATTTTTGTGTGTGTGTGTGGAGGGGTGTGTGTGTGTGTGTGTGTGGAGGTTTTTGGTAGGGAGGCGATGCAGGGGTGCTTAGCTTCTAATAATATCTAACAAAACTATTTGTTCCATGGAATGCACTTTGGAAAATGTGACACAATTTATAAGATGTTTATTACTACGAAAAGATTACTTACCAATCACATTTGGAGCGACATAATGCTTTTCAAATAAATCTTGATATATTTTTTAGTGTGAAGTCCTTAGAGCTATCAGATCAATGGTCTCTACTGATATGAATTTTTTCATTCTGATTTCTTTGCAATTCATCCTAGAAATCATTTTATATCTGAAAAATATGGTTAAAATTACAAATATTGTTAAAAATGATGCCAATCATCACATAGAATCATGGATACAAAAATGAGCTGAATGTGGCTCAGATAATGAACTCCTTATTGCCAAATTCAGACTGAAATTGAAGAAAGTAGGGAAAACCAGGATACCATTCAGGTTTGACCTAAATCAAATCCCTTACGATTATACAGTGGAAGTGACAAATAGATTCAAGGGATTAGATCTGATAGAGTATCTGAAGAACTATGGACGGAGGTTCATGACGTTGTACAGGACATAGTGATCAAGACCATCCCCAAGAGAAAGAAATGCAAAAAGGCAAGATGGTTGTCTGAGGAGGCCTTACAAATAGCTGAGAAAAGCAGAAAAGCTGAAGGCAAAGGAGAAAAGGAAAGATCTGCCCATCTGAACACAGAGTTCGAAAGAATAGCCAGGAGAGATAAGAAAGCCTTCCTCAGTGATCAATGCAAAAAGGAAAACAAGAGAAGGGAAAGACTAGAAATCTATTAAAGAACATTAGAGATACCCAGGGAACATTTCATACACAGATGGGCACAATAAGGACAGAAATGGTATGGATCTAACAGAAGCAGAGCTATTAAGAAGAGGTGGTAAGAATAGACATAAGAACTATACAAAAAAGATCTTCATGACCCAGATAGCTATGATGGAGTGATCACTCACCTAGAGCCAGACATCCTGGAATGTGAAGTCAAGTGGGCCTTAGAAAGCATCACTACGAACAAAGCTAGTGGAGGTGATGGAATTCCAGTATACCAGACCACCTGACCTGCCTCTTGAGAAATCTATATGCAGGTCAGGAAACAACAGTTAGAACTGGACATGGAACAACAGACTGGTTCAAAACAGGGAAAGGAGTAAGTACATCAAGGCTATATATTGTCACCCTGCTTATTTAACTTATATGCAGAATACATCATGCAAAATGCTGGGCTGGATGAAGCACAAGCTGGAATCAAGATTGCTGGGAGAAGTATCAATAACCTCAGATATGCAGACGACATCACCCTTGTGGCAGAAAGCAATGAATTAAAGAGCCTCTTGATGAAAGTGAAAGAGGAGAGTGAAAAATTTGGCTTAAAACTCAACATTCGGAAAACTAAGATCATGGCATCAGGTCCCATCACTTCAAGGCAAATAGATGGGAAAACAGTGGAAACAGTGACAGATTTTGTTTTCTTGGGCTCCAAAGTCACTGCAGATGGTGATTGCAGCCATGAAATTAAAAGGCGCCTACTCCTTGGA